AACCTTTGGAAGGGACACCAGATTGAAGACGTTACTTCTTGCTAGTTCAAGAGCGCCCTGTACGACAATTTCCTAATTCCCATGGTCAAAATTGTAGAAATTCATGGAAACAAGTGTAAGCCAGAAAACGATCACTCCTCTGTAAAGATGACTGCACTGCATGAAGACTATAGCCTAAGTAATGGTAGCAGCAGGAGACTGGTAAGCAGGACAACCCACGTCCTCCTCTCCTCGCGATTTCTCACGTCTTCATATCCATCGTTCATTTCTTTAGGAAATGGGATCCATTGCTCATAAATCACTAAGTGATTACAGTCGGAAAGTGCCACTTTTATAGCCTAGAATTCCCAATGTAAGGCTTGGCGTTAGTTATGACTCTTTTTCCTTTTGCCGAACCAAATGTTTAATGGGACATTACTCAGTTCAGACAGACGCTGCTGCTTGAGGAGTTCTAGCCCCAATACTTGACTCTCGAAGTGCTCCCACGGAATACTCTCAACGAATTATGGAGATGTTCAGATGGGACTGAGACCGGATTCAGGAACGAGCCCTCTTAAAGACGAGCTACCAGCTGGAGAAATTAGAATAATCGAGAGTTACTACTAACAGAGAGGTGCGAGAAAGACTACGATTCACTTTCTCCAAATATACTTCTCATCTTCTAGCTATAATGCTTGATTAGTCACTGGTTCATGCTGAAGTCTGAGCTTCCCTCTCACATCTTATTTTATTTATTGACCTCAGCAGCTAGAGCTTGACGCAATATATATCACGGCAATTCAAGTCGTCAAAGTACATAGCCGTGACATACATATGTTACTAGACGTTTGGAGTTCGTTGGAAAAATTAAAAAAAAACATCGACTTTTCAGTAACACTTTCCACAAACACGAAAACTATCACGCTATAATGCCGAACACTGCGATTCATGAAATAACTGATCATAATGATCCCGCCAGGAAGTTATAAAATCATTGAGAAGTCTTCAATGGACTAAAATCACTAGCTGTAGATTGTTGAGCGAACAATTTTTCGAAGATTCATGGACAGAGGTGAAAGAAGCCAAAAAACAACTCGCCCACATCGATACCACAAACCTCATCAATAGTTAATGCAAAAGGTAAAAAGACGTTCCATGAAAAGCTGCTAAGTATCCGCTGGAAGCACGTCATAACAGCGTTTGTTATCGTGTGTAAACAAACGCCAACACCAAAAGTCAGAGTAAGCCGTGACTCTGATTCTTGCCAACAATTACTACGCCTTAGACAGCGACTACCTTCATGAGAGTATGGAAGTACGGTAAGGATCAACTCAATCGTTGGAGAGAGATTTTACTCAAGAATGATAAGGTCCACTCAGAAAAAATGCCACGGTGTGGTTCATCGCAACTGTGAACGTATGTCACGGCGATGTGTGTGATCATCATCGTCATCATACATCGCCGTGACATACACTGAGTTTGCATACACGATAATCCTGGGGGCTGGAGTGGATAGTAAGGCAATGAATTGAGAGAGGAAGATTTAAAAATAAACTTTCGAAAGTGGTCCCTTCCAGGAACTTGATTCCGTGTACTTATAGAAAACATTGCGTGCGGTAATGCGAAATGAAAACGAAAAAGGGCGGGTTGGAGATGGTAAGTTGTAAGAAGTGGTATCACCCTCATTCATCTATAATAACTTATAGGTCATAGATAGTAATCGCTCTTATTTGGCAGTGCAGTTAGAGGTGTAAAAAACAACTACAGAACAGCGTCTATTTCTCACCTGCAACCAATTAGCTGATGATTTAGAAAATATCAAGTTCGAAATTTACTCCTAGACAGAGAAATAAATAAAAAGTTGTAAAGTTTATATTTTTTTGGATAGAGAGTTGCGTAGGCTATGCTAAGGACAGGTCAGATCCTGCGAAAACAAATGGCCAGTGTGACTTTCTGCCGAACTAGGATCTCTTAACCTACTAGCTGACATTTACTGGCTGGGATCCTGGTAGCAATAGAGAATAAAGTTCCGGTAAAGTGGAAATTACAGCGATTGAGGGCTTAAAAAAGGAAATACAGGTCTTTGGATGAGTTTGCCAGGAAGTGACGTTCGGATTGAATGCCTTTACATTCAAATTGGAATCTTATCAGAGAGATGTTCCGTAAAAGCTGAATTAGAATCTAATTAGCTCAAAGAACACACGACACATCAGAGATGAGGAATCTGGA